CGGGGGGGGGGCCAGCCGGCTAAGCTCAGCCTCTGGGATCAAGTCAGAAAAGTCAGCTGGGGGCCACACACAAATGAGAAGCAAAAACAACCCCTCACTGATGTGGCCTCTGGCTGAGAAGCAGAAAGACCCTCCCCACATTCCCCTCGCACACCAGAGCCTGGGGGGCCAGGCCGGTAGATTTTATGTGCGTCAGCCCCATGGTGGGGCAGTAGGGAGGCTGAAGCGCCAGCGTGGGCTCCCCAATGCTGGGGAGGAATTGAGCCTCGGGGGCCGGATCCAGGCAAGTCTGGGGCCACATCTGACCCGGGGCCTTAGGTTCCCCACCCCTGAGTTACATGCTGCGAGCTCTGCGGTGTAAAGATAATACCGGCTCCCTGGAGCAGAGCCTGCTGGCCCTCTCCCAGGGAGCCAGCTGTGCTGCAGGCTCTGCAGTAGCTTTATACCGCAGACCCCCAGCGTGCGGCAGCAGCCAGTTCTCTGGGAGCCGGTACACGCCAGGAGCTGATTTTGAAGCCGGCTCCCCTTGTGCACCGGCTCCCGCCTGCAGCCCAACTCCCAGATAACCGGCTGCTGATCCAGAGCCAGCAATGCTGTGTGATAGCTGGCTCCCAGCCCAGCTCCTGGGCTGTGGGCTGTGGGCTCCGTATATTACATCCCTAGGCATGCCAGCTTCAGCACCACTAGTGCGTCTGTCTCCCCGGCTCCCAGCCACAGTGTCGATGCCTCTTTACTCTCCATCCCCCCGAGGCGTTGTGGGTTTGTAATTCTGGACTAAGAGCCTGTCACATTCTGTTTCTAAGACCACTTCAGTCACCTCTCTGGCTTCCCCCTAGAGTGTGCGCAAGGCCGGTACGGTGCCGATTGCCAGCAAGCCTGCGACTGCCGCAACGGGGGGCTGTGTGACCGTCAGACGGGGCTCTGCGTCTGCCAGGCCGGCTGGACCGGGCAACGGTGCCAAAGCCGTAAGTGGAAGCTGCAAGTGCCCCATCCCCCAGTGACAGCTTGGCCGACTTGCCAGGACAAGGAAATGGGTTTGGCCGGTCAGAGCCATCCCACGGATGAAAACATTGTGAGGCTCAAGAGTCTAGTTCCCGTATTTTATCCAAAGGCTGCTTCTGAGACAGCAAGGACAGCACAAGGCCTCCCTGCCGGAGGCAGCAGATACTTTGCTTGCTCCATCTCTTCGAGGTGCCAGGGAATTAGCGAGGAAATCAAGGTCCTAACACTGGGCTTGCGCTGCTGAAGAGAAAACACACCCTGGTTTTAGCTGTGAGGGCTTGTTCTGCCTGGCGCCGTGCGCCCCTCCCGGGCTGAACAAAGGAAAAGTTGGTGGTGCTGTCCCTCCGGTCCCCAGCGTGCTGCAGTCATGGGAAAGCCACGTCTCCTCCCCAAGACCCGAACGTGGCTCCCTCCTCTCTGAAGTCAGTGGCAAACCTGCAGGAGCAGACGCCTAGCGCCACAGGTGGTTCTGAGCAGATGTCAATGGAAGGAAGTGAAGCTGAAATGTCACAGGCAGGCCTGCCGACAGAGGGGGGATAAAGAGGGCAGTTGCCCCGGGCCTGGTGATTCAGAGGTGCTCTGGGCTCCCAGCCGCCTCTGCTGCTACTCCAGGGCGTCATTTCGGGAGGGCGGGGCAGCCCTGAGTGCCGGGACACTGTTTGCTTTTCTTCCCCTAGCCCTGGCGATCAGGGAGCGAGGGGAAAGTACTTGGATTCCATGAATTACTCCTCTGCCCCCTCCCCTCACCAGCCAGGAGTCAGAGGCATGCCCAGAATCCAAGTACTTTCCCCTCGCTCCCTGATCGGCAGGGGGGGGGGGAAACAAACCAGCCATAGCCCCGGCCA